TAAAAATGGATAAAAGAAATGATAAAAAACTTCCCAGGAAATATCTTCTGCTGCAGTAGAGCTGTGTTGCCCTCAAAGATCATAAAGCTATTACCATACTGCTCTTGCATCTGTGGGTTGTGGGTGAGGATGGATTTTTTTTGTATAATATAGCCCATGTGTGGCTGTGATGAACTAAATACACCTGGTCTCATATGATCTATGGCAGCTCAGCTGTCCTCAGCCTGGCTAGAACATGAATGCGAGATCACCTTGGAGTTCCAGGCATGGCAGAGGAGCTGCGTTTGTGCAGCTGGGCCCCAGTCCTAATACTCTTTGGAGTCTTTCCTGTAGCTAGCATGAAAATTGCACATCCCAAATCCACCTTGTCAGATATACAGCTCTCCTGTTCTCTCAGTGGGCAGCCCAGAGACCAGTCCTAATGCACTCTGCATAGACATGTTACTTTCCGGTTCTGACCCTGGACTGTCTTTGCAGGTCCCATGCCAAAGAATAACTTTTTCTTAATCTTTCAGTGAAGAACCCTTGCACAGCTATGCCAAATGGGCTCCATCTCACTTTGAAGGAGACATCAGTATGATAGAGAAGGTCCTTTTTTAGCTCAGTAGTTTGGGCGTAGATTCCAGGCAGTCCTCAGATGTGAGGGTTTGAACCCATATCCCACACTTCCTACCAAAGCCCCTAATCAGCAAGGCCAGGTCAGGCCAGAAAGACTCCCCATACTCTTGCTGAAGCTTAGCCCCAAGATAATCAAGAGAAGAAGAGACAAGGGGCCAGAAGGAGACTATGCAAGAGAGTGTGTTACCTTGTGCCCCCGGAGGCCTGTATGCAACTATAGGGAATGCACATGGAGCTCCTTCTTCTATCCCTTGCACAGCCCATGTCAGAATTAAAATCCCTGTTTGGTGAAGTGCACAGAGCTGGTTGCCTCAGGGTACTCCCCCCATCTAGCCATTCATCACCCAACCTTATTCCCCAAGAGCTTCCATTCTGCTTCAAAATAAGGCAATCAAATTGACTATATTTGCTGCAAAGAATAGACCAGGGTGGTCTTGGATAGCTGCTCTTGGTTCACGTGGGCAAAGATTGTGCCTCAGTGAACTACTATTCTTCTCAAAGAACCAAAGGTAGGGAGTATATCCTTGCTACACCCCTCCACCAGGCTGTCCAATAACTTAAGTCACTGGTTTCTAATCTTTTTCCATCTGGCTGTCCCACAACCCCACTTCCAGTCTGAGCTACACTTTAACTTTTCTCTTGAGGTTGCGACCCATGCTTTGAGGACCACTGAATTCTTGTTCTTCAAAACAGCTGGATGCAAGTGAAAATAGTAGGCAATATGATTTTTTACCAGTAGATGGTGCCAAGAAAGCAAGTTTGAAGAGATATTGAAGAGCTATTGCCCCAGAACCAAAAGTCCTGGACACAATCTGTTGGTACCATAGGCCCAAGAGAGAAGGGGATCTACTTTTTCTGGGTATTGGGATGTAACTGGAGGCAGCTGCTGGCACAGTGGAGTGTGAGAGAGCCCACAAACCAGAGCAGAGATGGGGATAACTGTGGGCTATGCATATTTACTCTGTCCCATTAGGGTGTCTATAAAACCTGCCACCAACTAAGGCTGCCATCTTTGCACTGGCAAGAGGTGGGGGCAGCTTTGCCAGAGAAAGGAGCAGCAGATACTGACAGCAATAGACCACCATAGTCTAAGCAGAATAGCAAGTGCAGCCTTTGACAGGCACTCCTCGTGAATGCTAATTTAGAGTAGAGAGAGAATTTATGCTCACCTCTGCAACCTCTGTGTCAGCTAAGCAGCAGCCCCCAACTTCTGGGAAACAGGGGTGGGAATCAGAGTGTTCAGGTGCTGCAGCTCCTTTTACAATAGACTGTTTAACACAGCATGCTGCTTTTTCCATCTGCTTCCAGGGAACACCATCTGGATTGGGATCTTAGGAGGCTAGAGAAGGTACTAGGCCCCATCTGTGCCATTCTTGATGTTACAGATGGAACACCTAACTCATCTCTTTACTGATGCAGGATTGAATTCCCCCGTGGTCCAATTTTCCAAACTAGCTTTTAAAGCCCAAAGTGCTGGATGTAAATCTGCAGTCCAATCCACCTTGCTATTTGCTGTTTTCCCTCAGCCATGACCTAATCCCTAGGATGCATGTCAGCCAGACCAGCTGCTTTACATGTGTTTAGATTTTCAAGTATTCCTTTCCATAGACAGTTGTTTTTACTTGGAATTCCTTCCATGCTAAGGGTCAGATCACATCAGCTGAAGTCGAGTGTTGCCTGCAAAAGCCCATGCCTCTCAGGGCAGTGTGGCACCTTGGAGGCTCACTGGGTCAATCTTCTGCTTTCCCTATTAAGGATTCAAACTTTCCCGTAATTCCTCAGTAATGGTAGATTATTAAAAGAAGCCAATACCCCAGCTATAATATCCACTGCATTCCTTATTCTGTGTACCCTTCTGTCCATAGTTTGCCCCCATTTATTGCACTGTTTTTTGAGAATTATGGTCCCCTTCTGATATTAGCTTTATTAGGGCCTGGCCTTCACATGGTATAAAACTGTTCAGTTTTTAATTCAAGTAGGAAGCAATGCCACATGATACCAGCTGAGATCCTCCTGTCCATTCTAGGTTGCTTGAGCAATCCCTTTGTGCGCAGGAAAGGCTTTAGAAAATTTTACTGTATTGCCATCAATTAGTGACCCTACACTAGAGATTCATAGAGGGCCTTTTACAAGAATCGCAGCAACTATGACAGCAGCTCTCACATTCAGTCTAGAATGCATCCTGTGTGGTGCCAGTCAGCTGGTGGAGGCAACAACTCATTTGACGAGTTAGATGTCTTGGATTGTATAGGAGTGCATGCTGTTTGCAGATGCTCCTCACCACTGGGGATGGACAATATGGGAAATAAAGCCTTTGGTAGAATAATAGAAGGAAACAGCATTAGTCAGTTTGAAGACCAGCAGGACATTAGATATTTTGGGAAAGGCAACATAAGCGAAAGACATGGCCACTGATTCTTGTGGCTATTCTGGCAGCATTACATGTGATTTTCCCCACCCTGGGATTATAAACCCAGGCTGCGACAGACCTTGATCTTTTTCCATATGTAATTCCTTCTATGGCTAAACACTGAATGGGGCTCATTAAATGTTAAAAGAATGTCCTGCCTTGTCTTTATACAGGGCACAGAGGTGATAGCCAATACATAATAACCTCCTTGTAAATCATACATCCAATGAAGTCAGCCTCACCTCTCGTCCTGCTAGCTTTCATCCTGCTTTATAGCAAGGCGATCATATTGACTGTGTCTGCTGCAAAGAAAAGGTATCATGACTGGGCAAACGCAGAATTTGTTTCTAGGTCAGGGTTGAAGTAAATCAGTTGGAACAGTGTATTAGATCAGAATTGATGAGCTTGAAGTCTGGAAGGTCCCTGTAACTCACAGCAGAGCACTGGCAGAGCAGCATGGCAAATTTATATTGCTCCCCTGAGCACAGCACTTCACCACGGTGGAAGGAGATAATTAATTTCCTAATTCTTGCATTCCCCTCAGCCTCCGTAAACAACCACCTATAATGCCACACTCCCTGAGCAGTGTATCCCCCTCCAAAGCATCCAGGGGTAATTTTCACTGATGTCAACAGGCATCATGTGCAGTTAGGTGGTACAGTACCAGAGGAATAGGAACCTTAAAAACAGAGAGATGAGAACTGACCTCCCAGATTGGATTGTTCTCATGTGAAGCCATAGATGAAGGGAGAGCTCTGGCTGAGCTCGAAGCTGGCATGAAAGATAGTTAAAAACTGACCCACATCCCTCTTCTCAAACCTGTTGCCTTGGGCTTCTAGCCCATCCTGTTTTGTTCTTAATAAGACTCCTTTCATTTCTCACTGCTGCATATCAGGAGCAATGGGCATTTGTAGACATGGTCTGGGAAGTGTAAGGGACTGCCCTTTAATCAACAAGCCGCGCTAGCTAAAAGCACCCGAGTGTCACGTGTATCAGCATCCCCACGCTGAAAAACGGCGGCAGGGTGCTTTGAACTAAAGTTTGTCAAATGAGCTTAGATAAAGCGCCCCATTGCCATTTTCAGTTTGGGGATGCTGATACATGTGACGCTGCTGTAGTGCATTATTTTCTGTGCTCCAGCAGACTTGATTAATCAAGTCTGCTGCAACACATTGGATTTACAGCATGCTGGGGCAGCCTCCATTCACATGTATAGGAGCCCAATAAGCCTACAGCTGCTTCTGCTCAGTGTGACAGATTTCCCAAGCCCTTAAAGACTCAACTCTCCTGGCCTGGGCCTCCTTTGCCTGTCAGCTGGTATTTGCACCCATGCCAAGCTGTTGTACATAGGTGTAAATGGTTACCATTCTTCTCTGGCAGTATTTTACTTCTACTTTGGGTGAGGGTGAGTGTTTGAATAAGAGGCTAGGCAGTGGAGAAGAATGTGGGTGTAGTGTATGAGGCCATAGGAGGCTGCTACGTGGGAAAAGCTTGGTGCACTGTCTGCCCCTAACCACATATTTCATTTGTGTGCATCATTCTCCCTTTCTTTCCACTCTGTGGAAACAATGATGTGCCAGGTGCACAGAATAAGCATAGCAAGCTCCACTTCTTTAGATATGAAGAGAGGCGCACGCATGCCCATGAAAAGTAATGCTCCTTCTAGCTTTGCTCAGAGTGGGTTGCCCTACACTTGACCAACTATAACTGTTTAGCTCTGGAAGGACAAGTGTTTCTAAAGGACAAAAGCTAATATCTCTAGCATTGCCAACCAAAGAAACGCAACCCTACCCAGCGAGAGCGAAACCAGACTATCTTGCAAAAACACAGTGAGCAAACAAAGTTGCTCAGTGGAAACCATCTGATAAGAGCAGCTGCATTTCTGGTAGCTCAGTCAGGAGGACTTCAGCATTTCCATAAGCTCCAGAGTTTCATCGGGGCTATCTGAGCTCCTGGGCAAGAAGCAGACACCATGTCGACAACAGTCTGCCAAGTGATGGGCTTTGTTGTCTCATCGTTGGGTTTTGCGGGGTGCATCGCAGCCACTGGGATGGATATGTGGAGCACACAGGACTTGTATGACAACCCAGTCACGGCAGTGTTCCAGTATCAGGGACTCTGGAGGAGCTGTATGAGGCAAAGCTCAGGTTTTACAGAGTGCCGACCTTATTTCACCATTCTGGGGCTACCAGGTAGGGGCAAAAGATGGACCAAGCTTAATCCCTGGAGCTTTCTGAAACGGAACCTATTTTTCATTGAATTAATCAAATTCACTTGTATTGAATATTTTAAAGAGCATTGCAAGCCAAAAAAGAAAAAAAAATCTTTCAAGAAATGCTTGGATGCTTATCTTGCTGGGATTCTTTGACCCTAGCTGACTTTCTGCCCTTGGGGGCAGGGGGCTGGACCCAATGATCTTACGAGGTCCCTTCTAGCCCCAATGTCTATGAAATCTATGAAATCTCCGAGCTACTCAACATTTGAGTATAACACTACATGAATATTTTTGTCACCATAAATAGTAACTTTACATGCTACATGAAGTGTATTTCTCTGATACCTAAATTAGCTTCACAGGTTCAGCTCCTCAGTCAGTATAAACCATCACATATCCCCATTGATTTAAATAGCTTTTTGAAGTTAAACATACATGAAATGGTGAAAAGGAGTTGCTTGATTATTTTGTTTAAATTTTTCCAGCTTGATTAACTATTCATATAAATTGTTTCTGCAGAAAGGAATAGAAACATTTTTTTCCGCAAAGAAAAGGTGACCCCAAGCATTTTCCTGTTGAGAAATCTGGTTCTGAATTCTCTGCATAGAGAAATTGGATGCACGGAGGATTTTGATTGTCTGTTTGTGACAAAAGCCAGTTTACTAGACAGTTTTCTTGCCTTCTTTTGTTGTTATTCATTTGTTTGTTTTTCTTTTCTTTTTAAATTATAAAGAGGCTTAGACTGATTGATGCTCTTCAAAGCATCTCAGCTAAAGCTGAGTTTATGCATTCAGGACAATGGCAGGGAAGTGTTAGTTAAAGCAGTACATGATCCTAAAGGCAGTTCAGACTGATGGGAAAAACTCCCATTCATTTCCATGTACTTTTGATAAGATTTTTAGCCTGATTTGGTTACTGCCTTATTTACCTGGGTGCTTGATTCACCTCTTTTGTAGTTATTTATTCCCATTCAAAGTGAACACAAGTTTGATGCCAATTCTCACTGGGCAGCCTTTTACAGCCACTTTAGACAAGCTGAATGATGGTGCAAGGAGCCAGGCAGTAAAAAAACTAGGTTTGGTGTTCAGATCAAAACCAGGAATGTTGGAGTCAAGGTGCATTTCCTAGTCGATAAACCACTTGGTAAATAAGTATCCACCTTTTTAAACTAAAAAAACCTCTTCTGCCTTGGCGCATCTCAATAATTTACAAAGCACTGGAATACATAGAGCCTAAAACTGATATAAATATGTATTGGCATTATCAAACTGATATTCCAGTGCCTTTACAGAGTGATTTTTTTTTTTTGCTAAAAAGCATCAAAGTAAAGAAAAATGATTTATACATCTTGATTTGGTAGCATTTTTCTCCTTGCACTCTCTCTGCGTAATGTGTAAAATGGTTGTATGAAGTGCGGGGCATCGGGCAGCTGTGGCTATTGACTTGCGTAAAGGAAAAAATAGCTCCTGATGTTGTGAGCTCTTTTCTGTATGTGGTTGACTGACTTGCTTCATTACCAGGAAGTCACCGGTGACTGTAGTGTTGAAGACAAACCTGTTTGCTTATGTTTGAGTTCTTTGATAAAATCCCACATATATCTCAGGAGATATGATTTAATAAACGCATCCACATTAACCTTGCATTATGATTGTAGACAAGTTGTTTGGTTTGAGGGAAAAATAACATTTCAAACTAGCTACTTTGCCATAGCTTTTATTTTTGTAAACGTATCAAAAAATGCCACATGTGACTGATTGATTGTAGTTTAAAAGAGCAATATCATTTTCCTTAGCACTGGTGAACCTCAGTTTTGACTGGAGTGATTTATCACTAGCAAGAACCAGTTTTTTTTAAACATAATTATTTAAGTAAAAATGTAATACAGAATTTTACTTCCCAATCACACACAAAGCTTACACTGCAGGATGTTGATGTCCTATTGGTGTTATTTCTCCCAGCACATTTCCATGTGCTTGAGAAATAAATGGAAATGTAAAGAAGGAATGACTCGGTTTTTATTTGGTTATTTTTTTAAACATACGCTAATGTTTTTTCACTGTTTTCCACAGTCTGTAATTGTTAGAGGGGTTACATTTTCACATCTGTAGTGATAACAAAAATATGACAGCTGCTAATTTTGATCAAGCAATGTTATTTTTTTTTCCAAAGACCACTCAGCACATACTATTTGTACCAACTCCGAGAGAAAAGAAATATTTATTTCAATGTAGCATTAAAAAGTGCAGCAATGAAGCACTATACAAATGATCATAGACCGACTAAGACTTCTTAGCCAATCAGCTTGCATTGATTGAGCATTCTGGCCATTAGATCACCATGTCTGATGTATAGTTTCATTGTTAATGAAACGATTCCATTGCATCAGAAATGATGCTTTTATTGTTCCTGCACCAAAAGTTGTGAAAATGTATTGCTTGGTTTTAAAATATTGGAATAACAATTACAGTTTTCTGGGTGTCTTATATCGCAGGCCAAATTTTCAAAGTGAGTCATTGCAATTGTATGAATATGTTTCCCCGTGCCTAATCTGTGCTCACGGTTCCCTGATTTTTGCGTGCAAATCCTATAGGCAGATGACTAGTCAGAGAACTGTTTCATCATGTGCATACACATATCAAGGCTATGCATACTTCAGGTCTCTATAATAAAGTATATAACTTTCCTGTGCTTAAATGAAAAAAAAAAATATAGCTATATACTGCTAAGTAGGGCTGTGAGAGGTTTCGGACAGAGCTTCGGAACCAGAGAAGCTCGGACACTTTGGTGTCCAAAGCAGCATGTCTGGATCAAAGCGCTGGCTTCGTTAGGCTTTCTGAAGCAGTTCAGAGCTTCTGAAGCACTTTAGAAAAGCTTCGGAGCCGCCTCGGAGATCTGCCCATAGGGTATAATAGGGAATCAATGAAACATCTATAACTTTGTTGTTTTTTTGTCTGATTTGGATGAAACTTATAGGGCTGGCAGCCCCTGCTGAGATCATGAAGTCTGCTAATTTTCATGAAGCTCAGTACAGGGGTTTAGGGGGAACTGTACCCCAAATTCCTGAAAGCAAAACTCATGTCACGCGTATGTGTTATAACACAAGGGGGTGAAAATTGTAGGGGTGGTGGCTCTTGCTGAGGCCACAAAGCCTGCCAAGTGTCAAGAAGATTGGTGCAGGGGTTTGGGGGGGAACTGCACCCCAAGCAGCAGACAAGCAAAACTCGTGCCATGGGTGGCACTGCACGTGTTAAGGTGCAGCAGAGTGACAGCTGAAGAGATGGCGGCCCCTGCCTTGGCCACGACGCCTGCCAGCTGTCAAGGAGATGGGTGCAGGGGGGTTCTGGGGCCCTGCACCCCTAGCTGCTGACAGGCAAAACTCATGCAATGGGTGCTTGTGTAACTGAGTGTCTCTGTCTTGGGGGTGGAAGACACTACTGCAGGCCTGGCTGCTAAGCTACTGTGTTACCAGTTACCAATCAATCATGATCCACTCAGGGACCAGCTCAATACACAGGACCTAGCTAATGTAGCCAGTTAATTGCCATAATTAGCACCTACAAAAGCAGAGACTAAGGAGAGGAAATAATCAATAAAGACAATCAACTGCCCAAGACAGAGACAGTCGGTTGCACAAGCACCCATGTCACGCATTTTGTCCATCAGCAGCTAGGGGTGCAGTCCCCAGGACCCCCCTGCACCTATCTCCTCAACAGCTGGCAGGCTTCATGGCCACAGCAGGGGCTAGCAGGCCTGCAGCTGTCACTCTGCTGCGCCTTAACACACAGTGTCACCCCGCATCTTGAGGCACAATTGCCCCCAAACCCCTGCACTGATCTCCTTGAAACTTGGCAGACTTTTTGGGCTCACCAGGAGCTACCGTCCTTGCTGTTTTGACACCCCTGTGTTGTAACACATACACGTGATATGAGTTTTGCTTTCAAGAATTTGGGGTACAGTTCCCCCCCAAACCCTGCACCGATCTTCTGGAAACTTGGCAGGCTTCATGCTCTGAGCAGGGGCTACCACCCCTGCAAGCTTTATCCAAATAAGACAAAAAACAACAATATAGATATTTAATTGATTCCCCATTATACCTTATGGCTGGATCTCCGAGGCGGCTCCAAAGCTTCGGAGCCACTTTGGCGGGATCGAAGCAGAAACCCAGTCCAGAGCTCCAGATTGGATCACGGCCATCCCAAAGCGGCTGGATCCGAAGCCAGATCAGATTGCTGCTGACTTGCACAGGCCTACTGCTAAGCGCTTCTAATGCCAGCCAATAAACTAACCTTTATTCTCTGTTTGAATAAAACTAAAATCCTCCTACCCATTCTAACTACCAAGAGGGATCATTGCCCTGGATAAAGAAGTTTCATTAAAATGGCTTCTGATTGGTGCCGACTTTCACTGAATTTGACAGTTCTTCCTTTTCATACATGTATTCTCCATGCTTTCCCACCCCAAGAAACGATGCCTGTAGACATTAATATGAATACAATCTCATATCAGCTGAGAGAGCACGGTCAGTGTTGCCTCTTGCCAATGTGAATTTGTAGAAACAGACTCGTATCCTTTGCTGATATAAACAAGTGCAGCTCCATTGAAGTCACATGATGATGACCACCTGGAGATCTGTCCCATTGTATACTCTTTACTGCCTTCTGTTTTAAAATCTAAAGGTATCAAGTTTCCCTCAAAGGCACAGCCTGGAGTTGGGTACGGCACAGAGATGACCTGCCCCAGGGAAAGTAAGGGCAGTGTTACCATCCTGCTAGAGCTCTTTGAGTCACAAGGATGGTGCATTCTTCCAAGGAAGGTGGCATGTGCTATCTAAACATGGGTGAGCCCAGCTAGCTGGCATGGAGATGGGGAGGTACAGCCTTCAGAAAGTCTAAGTGTTGTTACTAGACACTCTTTGCAATCAGGTAAATGCAAGGGCTCCATTTGTCCCTAGTTCTTTGCCTAGGATAAAAGGGAATGAGCTAATTAGTTTGCTTTCTTTCTCTCACCTTCTGCATTCAACTGGACTAGTAAAGATTGAGACTAGAGAGTTTTGAAAGAGGCAGGATCATTGTTGTCTCCTGACATCCTCACACCACTGCAGGACACATACAAAGCAGGAAGAAAGTACTGGTTTATCTGTCCTAAAGTTTGCTGGTGTGGACTTAAAGAACCCTGAAGGATTCAAGGGATGCTTTAGATTGCACCCATCCCCTGTAAGCCCTTATAGGAAGTTTGCAAGAAAGAAAATATTTCCCTTGAGGGAAAAGCACATCATTATCCTAGAGAGAACCAGAGCTGAACATTTGATTCTGTACCGGCCCTCCCATGCATTGCTGGATTGGGAATTACTCAGAAAGTGCCACATGCCTTAGGGTGGTGCCTTATGGCATCCATTACACATGTTCTCATTGAAACCAAAGCAGTTGAAATGAAACTTTGGTGTTTGTAAGGAAGAGTGAGGAAAGGAAAATCCTGAATTTCTTCTCTTTGCTTCCTGTGGCTCTGCCCTAAAGGCCTGGTGAACACCCCTTGGGCCTGATAACACTTATCAGTTGGTCTTTTGCTTTTTGATGAATAATAATGAAAAAGCACCTCTGCACCAGTGACTGGGAGCCTGAGCGCCTGGCTTATTAACACTTGTTATCAACTGATAAAGGCATGCTGAACAATTGGCATGAGTCAGAAAGGCAGCACTCATGGACTGGGATTGGCAACAGTATCCAGTCCCATTAAAAGGTAATGGTATCCCAGCAGCTTCAGGAATTCTGGTCTTGGTTATGTTACATTGGACGCCCCTTTGAGCACTATGCATGAAGATGGGTCTCTGCACCAATTTAGCAGTGTGGCTCTGTCCAAGCATAAAGTAACCCACCTAACCACAGGGAGAGCTGATATTTAGTGGCATGGTTCCACAGTTGCTGTTTCCCCCACATGGCCTAACTTTAATAGGTGGGACGCAGGTGGCAAAATGGCAAAGCTTTCCCATTAACCCCTGAAAAAACAGTTATTTTTCTCAGCTAGCAGGTTCTGGATTGTGGGGCCTTCTGTAGATGGTGTTAAGCATGAAAAGAGTAATTAAATAAAAATAGGTCTTTTCAAAACATGCATTTATGTACAGTGCATACACATATACACACAACAAACCCTCCCCTTTGGAAACTAGCTTTGAAAATCTCACAACAAATCTGACCCTTTGGTGATTAGCACTGAAAATAATGTCCTCTGCACGAGGGATCCTCTCTCTGCACAAAGTGCACTCCTGGCCCTCTCACAATACACCTTCTTCTTTCCAGTCAGCTCACAATGGGCTGCATTCAATAAACATCTTTTCAGCAGTTTGCACCACAACCAGTAATAGCTGGCTAGGCACAGCATATGAGAAGAGAACAGCCAGGGCACGGCAATTCTCCAGCCACTCCCATCACTCCTCTGGCTCATTCTCCAGGTGGTGTGGCATCTGGCTGTCCAAACTATGCCAGTTAAGGTCTCTTACACACCGAAGGCCGGATTCTAATCCATTAAGTCATCTAAGGACTTGGGCACCTAAGTGTGATTCTATTTCAGACTGCTCAAGTTCCTGAGAAGTGATGCTGTCTGACAAAAGTATATGCAACATGATCTGACCTGTACGCCTGAGTCAGAAAAAGAAAGAACCACCCACCTTTTCTATTTGTTTTTTCAGGGACTCATGGGGTGCACCTACACATTTATTAATGCACCATAGTTACTGCATACTGCAAACATACTTGCATAATCAAGTATTAAATCAATGTACTAAAACTGACACAAGGCTCTTTAGTAACATTAAATGTGTAGTAGCCTAATAATACTGTACAGTAGCATATTAGCATAGTACCATGGGTTTTGCCTGGCACACTACTGCACAGTGTTATTAGGCTTGTGTAGATGCACCCAGAGTGAAATAAAATAATCTACTTTATGCAACCAGTAGGTGCAATAGAATCTGGAAACAAGCAGATTCTTAACCTGGGACTCTAAGGCAGTTTCCAGCTCCATGGGATGAAAGGGGAGAGAATCTCATTCTCTTGGTTACTTTTGAGCACAAATATTTATGCCAAGAACAGCACTAGTCCCAACAGTGATATGGGCAAAGCCCAGTCAGCTGGAATTCTTGTGGAAAAACCAAAAGGGGATTGGGTGTGCCACCATCCAATCAGAAACATCTCTTTACAAACAGGTTTGTATCTACCTACTCCTGTTAGTTGACCATCTCTAGTATTCTGCTACCATCCTGTCTCTGAAAAGTTCTTCAAATATGGTCTAAGCATTTGCACAGATATAGATGCCTATCTCTGCTTTATGGTTTGTTTCCTCAGCTGAAGCCAAATGTGGAGAGGAGTTCTTGTCTGGGGTGCTTCTCAGCCTGCATAGAGCTTCTAAAGGACACTTTGAATATTTGTTACATGACTTACAAGCCTTTTCTCTTTGCTATGCACCCATTAGCACACTTACTTGTCATAAATAATACTCAGCAGTGCCAAGAATTGCTACCAATCAAGCCTGCCCATCTCACTACCTGCTGGTTAAAAAAAAAATCCAGAAGCTTGCATTAACCAGACACTTCTTTATGTGAAAAAGTGAAACAATATTGAAATCTCATTAGGAGGAAGCTGGTTTTCTCTCTAGGATACTATAATTGGCTATAATAGACTCAGGATCTAAATCTTCCTGCCTGATGCTTGTCTGTAAAAGCTTGTTTCTGCCCTATCAAAACATATTCTGCCACTGCTTGAATCCAAAGCCTTTTCACTTTTGTTCTACATCATATGTTTTATGGCAGCAGGGGAATGTCATGAACACCATTTCATGCTAGTTAACCTCCTCTAGAATAAACTTGGATGGATGGGTGGGTGGGTGGAACATCCCATGGTTTCCATTGCTGCTGTTTTTTAATGACATTTTAATCTGATTTTTTCAGTTATTGCATGTGCAGAGTAATTTTTAGATTTCTAAATGAATATAAAATTTAATTTAATTTCTAAACAAAAAATAAAACACCCAACCAAACCAAGCCCAGTTTATTACTATGGGAGAAACAAGCAAGGGTTCCTGGAAAGTCAGCATACTAGGTGGAAGATCTTTGTGGGCTCAAGGGGAACAGTTCATAAAGACTCAGATTTAATACCACTCTGACCTAACATGAAAAGGAAGTCTGTAGGACTGCTCAAGCAATGTTCTCTAAACATTTTCAGTCTCATCAAAGACGCACAACCTTGTAACCAGAAAATGTTTTCCCGTTTTCAAACATAGAAAACCTTAGAGTTTAAAACCAAAATACATTCAGAATTTTGGTTGTTGAAAAGAAAAAAGGTAGTCTATCACAGAAACGCTTGAATGAAAATGAACGTTTTTGCCCTAAATCTTCATTATTTTTGAACAGCCATTTGTCTTTAAGGAAAAAAAATGCTTTAATGGAGATTTTTCAAACAGCTGCAACAGCCTCATTTCAGGTTTGGGCTTCTCTCTAAAATTACATTTAATTGGAAATAGCACTATCTTTTCCAACCAAGTCCTGTGTCACAGTGGTATGGGATAGACTGAATATAATATTCTGATCTATGTTATAGAGGAGACCTGTGGGACAGCAAACAGTCTTGTTTGACTTTGCAGTCTGCAACTTTACGTAGTTCATTTTGCTTTTGTTGGTTTGTTTTGCAGCCATGTTTCAGGCAGTGAGGGCCCTCATGATTGTGGGCATTGTCCTGGGTGCCCTTGGCCTCCTGGTGTCCATTTTTGCCCTCAAGTGCATACGCATTGGGAATATGGAGGACTCTGCAAAAGCCAACATGACCCTGACCTCCGGCGTCATGTTTATTGTGGCTGGTAAGTGCGTGCCCGTAGTGGCATACAAATATATAAAACCCAACTATTCACAGAATCCAATTCCATGAATTCATGAGCCCAGTCATTGACCAAGACCTTGTTGTGCCAGCCATTACACAAACATGTTGTCCCTTCTCCAAAGTGTGCCCTCAGCCAGCTCTCAGAGGGCACGGATACATTGTGGTAGCAAGGTACTCAGTCCTGCCACCAAGGAAATGAGCTCCAACCTTTCATTCATGCTGTGCATAGTTTGATCCACCCCCCTGCCACATGGGGCAGAAGCTGTCTAACTTCTGTCTATCCAAAGAATAATGACTGGAAGTCAAGGGCTAGAACCCAGCATTATCTCCTTTTCAGAGAAGTGCCTACTTCCCTGAGCTACACTCCCTGTGACTTGCTTTTCTCCTGGCCCCATGTATCTTCCCCCTCTTGGCTGCCCCATGGTCTAGCTTCAAGAGGAAGTCTGGAGAGCGGTCTGGGAAATGTCTAGCCCTTGACTAAGGCAGTTGTGTGGACCAGACAGTTCTATTCTTCCACAGGTGAAAATAAAATCAAATATTTGCCCAAGTGCCTGTTTTGGCATTTGTCGCACCTAACATGTGAGGATGAAATAGGATTTGGCTCTTTGTTACTTTAAATTCTCAAAAAAGCTGTGCTGATTCCTCAGTCTCCATCCCAGCAAACTGTTATATCCCGTTGTACTCTTGTCCTTGTCTGTGCCACAGTGTGCACCAGTCCACTGTTGTCTTTCTGCACCTAAAAAACCCTATCATCTCTATTAGAGATGTTTGAAAATTAAAGCTCTTGACTCTGGAGTGCAACATGCAGTAATTTGCATGCAGATGTAAATATACCGTGACTGATTCCCCCTTGCCTTATTATATAAACTCTGCAAAGCAAATGCAAGCAGAATGGCAGGTGGTATTTTTGCATGTATTTTTCAAAGATGTAAACGGCTTAGCAAGGTGTGAGACAGCAGGGAGTCTGACTCCATTTGAGCGGGCTTGAGTCCCAGTCCAATCTTCTCTCTGTTCTCAGGTCTGTGTGCAGTCGTTGGAGTGTCTGTGTTTGCCAATATGCTGGTGACAAACTTTTGGATGTCCACAGCTTCCATGTACCAAGGAATGATGCCATCGCTCCAGTCAAGGTGAGCAAATGTCCCCCTTCCTTGTGTTTGATGGGCATTCTGGTTTCAGAGCAGAAGGTGAGTTTTGGCTTGTCATAGCCATGGCTGCTCCAGGCAGAGCAAATATCTCATCTGTCTTTCCAGTTCAGTTCTGGCTGTAAGGCTGAATAGGTCTAGTGGACTGGATCCTTTGCTTTGTCTGAATGGTACAGCAGCACATCTTTGCTCTCCTTGACTTCACTCTGTTCTGCAGCACATTATCAGACAGGGCTGATACAGTATGTAGGCACAGAGCTACCTAGCAGTGAGAACTCTCACCTGGCTGCAGGGAAAAGGGTAGGGTGCTGGAGTCACTGTGGTAGGTAGATACCACCAGATTATTTCCCTGTATGGCATGTGGGCTAAGGGATGGCAGTCTTCCTGTGACGATTTACACCTCATTTAAAGTCTACTGCAGCTAATGATTGTCTTTTTTCTTGGCTACAGTGGGCACTTGGAAAAAAATAAACCAAGCAATCTATGGGGTCTCTCTGCCTCTGAAGCCAACACAGGGCAGAGTAGGGGAAAAGCACCCATCCCATGCAAAACATCAACTTGAATACAGACATTTTGATTTCCATTGGGTCACAGGGGAAAAAAAACTGACTGACTCCTTGTTTGAGACAGGTGGGCATGGCAAAAGAATCCCTTTTTCCAGGAGAGATTTCAGTAGTTTTAATACATCTAAAAAGCAGAACTGTAGAGCCTTACTGCATCACTGCAGCAAGCTAACGATTCCTCCTTTTTGTTTGTAGGTACACCTTTGGCTCAGCCTTGTTTGTTGGCTGGGTAGCTGGGGGCCTGGCTTTTGTTGGAGGCATTATGATGTGCATTGCCTGCAGAGGACTCATGCCCAAAGAGACCCAGTAAGTGTTTCAGCTTTTCACCTCAAAGCTTTGTTTTCTACACATGATCCTGAATTGTGACAGATGGTGGAACGTGACAGCTCTCTACCTTTGATGCCCTGGCAAGCACAGGATGCACAGAGTAAAGAGATCATGTAGAATGGTGCTTCCCAGCCTTTTTAGGTTCAGGGCACCCCTCCGTGACTCTTCTGAGTTTGATGACATTGGCTGAGAACCACTGTTGTGCTGCCTCAGCTTACCTCCAGGGCTTCTCAACTGGGATGTTGCTGTTACCACCATGTAAACGGGTGCCCAGTGCACAACTAGAGCAGAAAGGGCTGCAGCATGAGCATGGGCTCCTGTCTGCATTAAGGTTACCTGTCAAGCCTAAAGCAAACAGGAGTGTCTGCTCTTGCCACAGCCTTTCCTAATCTGACCCTGCACTTGGAAACAGGCATGTGGAACAGGTGGAACTGTCCTGAGCACCTGTTTCTGGGAGAAGCATGGTGAAACTGGACCAGGAAGGGCCAGGGCAAGAGCAGGCACTTCCACCTGGTTGCAGAAGTGGCACCAGCAGCTACACCCCTGAAAGGGTCTTGTGACACCCTGGGGTGCTGTGGCATCCTGATTGAAAATCACTGGTATAGAACCACGTACCATGAGAGCCATAGCTGTCTCCATATAGGACAATCAATCTGCAAAAGCTATCATGATGTGTGTGAACTCCAAAGAATATTTACTTACTTTTATGTTGAGTAAGCATATATTAAGTAAGTATGTAACTCCATAGTTACCTGAGTCACACAGGAAAGTAGGGCTGGAATATGGACCTCATGAGGTCATCTGGTCCAGCCCCCTGCTCAGGCAAGATCATCCCTGGCTAAACCATCCCATGCAATGACACTCAATAATAAGCTGGTTGAGGTCTGTAACAGATGAAATCAGACAGACTACATCCAATTCATGATTCCTCATAACCCAGAAGTCCAAGCCACACATGGTACTATTTTGCTTCCCTGATAGGATAACTGATAGTTGTGGTATGAACCACCACATTTACAATTAAATATACAACTCATCCTTTGCAGAGAGTTAGTTAACTAAGTATGTTAAATAAACCGCAGTGCAATCTGGGGACTGTAGGGCAAGTCTTTAGCTAGTATAAGTTGTTTCCATTTGTGTAAATAGAAGACGAGAGAGATGTCAATTTATACCAGCCGGGATGCAGCAAATTGTCTTTGATTACATTTGCAGTCTGCAGTTCAAACCATCTGCTGACCAGATATTACAGTATTTAAAGAAAAACTTTGTCAAAATTTTCAAATAATTTTTCAAATAAATTTTCTCCTTATGGTCTGATCTCAGCCAGGTTCTACAATGCTGCAAATAAAAAGAATGAGGACAGGGCTTAATGAGTTGCATCAAGTTTCTATCCAGCAGGAATAATATGCATAGCTGAACTTTTGAGGTGGTCCATTACTGATGTTTCATTGTATTGATCTCTTAGTTACAAAACGGTGTCCTACAATGCCTCCGGACGGAATATTTCCTACAAGACTGGGCCATATAAAGTTGGCTCTGGCTATGAACCTGAACCGAAAAATAAGAAAACTTCAACCTATGATGAAAATGCTCGAAGCGAAGATGGAAGGCGTTCTTACCCTTCAAAATATGACTATGTCTAGAAGTCTTTTTGGGGTGAAAGATACACTGTCTTTGTATAACATATATCAGTCTAGAAACAAAACAAAAAGAATGTGCAAGCTAGAGGCACTTGCCTGTTGGTTCGTATTTTCTTAATTTGTTCCACTTGCTTGGAGGTGGTTTTGGACATCCTCCTTCTTCACTGGCTCTTAACGTGACCCTGAGTTGACTTTATACTAGTGTTCGTGGCAAAGTGAGATTTGTAACAAATGAAGTGCATTTTTTACCTGCTGTCTTTGTGCATATTGCAAATGCAGCCTATGACAACCAAAGCTTTCATCCTCCCGCGCACCATTTTCTGCTTCTTTTAATAGACTTAAATTCATATTCAATAACAGAACACAGCGGGAGTTTGTGATTTCATGTCAATCCATCATGATCACATGTGTGTCTGGGACTAAAAGCTAAATAGCAGCGAGATTATAAAAGGCCTGAGCAAATCAGGAAACTCAGCCAGATTACTCTGCTGTTTTATTAAAAGAGGCAATTGCTTCCAAAACATTAAGTGGGTGATTTTAGAGATCATACGTCAAAACAGCACACCACATCAGCACATTGCATCTCCCCATTCTAGTAAAATGTTATGCAAAATACAAGATGTCATGTCTGCCTTTTTAGAGCCCAGAAAACTTAATGGTCTCTCATAATAGTCTGAGAATGCCATGATTCACTGAACGGATGGCGCATCTTTGCAACCTACTTTTGCCATGACAGGTTAAAAGAGAAAAGAAAAAACAGTTGCCTGTTGTATTATATGCTGTATGCATTAACCAAATCTCCACTCCCTTTCTTAACAGTGAGTATAGACAAATCCTATAACAACATACACCCTCTTGGTCAACACTTGTACTTAAATACATCTTTACCTTGTATTGAAGACTATACCATGATGCTGATGTGCTGTGATATTGCATTTGATTTATATTACTTAGCCATTTGTTGTAACCTGTGACGCCAATGTGTATTTGTTCTGATCTCCTTGGGGAACATATATAATCCATTGTTATTCCTATGCATGATATTTACTGTAATAGCTGAAAACCTTTGTGCACAACTGGTATTCATGTGGATGTCACCTTTAATGAAGTCAGAAGAATTTCTCATTTAGAATTAATTAAAGTTACATTTGGATCAGGAATCCCAGGGAGCATTAGAAGTGTAACTTTCTTTACTGACATTAGGAGTCCCTTGCATTAAATCTTTCTGTACCAATTTGAATATTAACCCCTTAGGAGGATGCTGTTATCATATCAGCAAACAAATTGTAATACAGTTTTTTGTCAGTCAGAGAACACAGGAAAAGGAGATTATTCAGTCTACAGTTGATGGGAAGCATTGCTGCCACTTTAATGAGTTTATTCCCAAAGGTAATTTGATGGGTCTCTGGAAAATTGCCTTGGTCGGGGTTTCTTAGTAGAGGGAGGATCATGTTATTGTTGGGATTTGATCGTGTGAAGCAAGGGGCCCCCAACTTTCACAGGCCCATGTGCAACAGTAGTGAGAGAGAAATGCTCTGGGGGCACCATCTTTGCACTCCCTGTCTACCTCAGTGTTAACTGTTTTGTTTCCTCTGACTGCTAGCTTTGACATGCAAGCCACAGGCTGGGACCACTGAAAACAGCCTGTCCCACCAATATAATCACTTTAAGACATGCCAGTGATGGGTTTTTGCTCTTTCCTCACTAAGATTCGGAGTTCTGTGTACCCATGTGCTTGGGAACTCATTCTGGGAACACATGGATATATATGCCCCTGCCCCTCCTATTTTGAATGAATCAGAAATTGAGATAGGAATTTCCACTGTAAGTTTGATCAGGGAAATGTATAAAGGCCTTGACAACATCCTGGTTTAACCCACACTGGTTGTTTATCCATAAAACCTCTAGACACAGCATACCATAGCTACCGGTACTCGTACAGAATGAAGTCCATGCAATATTCTCCCCAACACAGTTACCCTACAGTGGACCCACATGGGAGGAGCTCCAAAGCAATGCGTGTTTCCACAATGGCTCCAGGTAGGATGGTCTGAAGGAGTTTGGAGGCAGACTAGGGATGGAGCCATGAGACTCCGATGGCTCAGAAACGGTGCACAGTGTCATGGCCATAAAGATGAAAGAAATGAAGTGTATCCCTGTCCCCTGTATCAAACTTAGTTTGCTGAACAGCACAATTAAGTCTATACAATGTGCACTCCCAACTCTATATGATCATTGGAACTAAATCCTAGTCGGCATAAATCAGCATAGTTCTGTTGAAGTTAGTGGTGATATGCTAATTTACAGCACTGGAAGAGTTGGCCCCTTATTTTTACAGGTCCTTGTAGTTACACAGATCTGAGACTTTTGCTTAATTTTTTTTTTTTTAGCAATGTTTTTGTTACTTTGAAGAACAGATTTTCATGCAATTTCCAATGCGTACTTTGCTTTTGTGTCTTTGTTTTGCATGCTGGAAATATCGTGCTCTGTCTTTTTTTATTGTTATTTGAATATGAAAAAAAGAAGTTTCTTTAAGATCCAACATTGTTTGTTTGTTCATTTTGCTTTTGTTTTGTCATTCTCTGGAATTAGGCAAACAATATCCAATACTTTCACTGCATTACTAGACTGATTTCAGCTTTGGGTTTTCTAATCTCTTACTGATGTGATGTGCAACTGTGGAAAAACAGGACCTTTGGGCTCTTTTAAAAATGAGTAAGGGGGACTTTGAAAGGGTTTGCCTTGCTGAGTTTTCAGAAAGGGTTTCCTGTTTTTTTTTTTAGGAAATGCAGTTCTCTACATGGAATAATTATAGGTATTAATAATCTATTATCCATAATGCTCTCCATGCAGAAAAAAAATGTGTATGGACATAGGAAGAAAAATTAGGAGACTACATCTAAGCATTTAGAGTAAAGCTAATCAATATGTCAGTCAGACCCAATACCTCCATTTTTCCCAACAGGCATTACTGCAAACCCCAAAAGCTCTCATATTATTCTTGCAAGAAATATAAATGCTCCTACTGCAGCTGGTTTCCAGGAGAGTTAGCTATGCTGGGTGCTCCTGATTAAAAAATTAAATAAGTCACATAGCAGATTTTTTTTCTGCTGTGTAAACACACAGGGAACCAGCAATAGCAAGGTACTAGAGGTTTTCCCAGCTAATAAGAGTTTCAGAAGGGTGCTGGTTTTGATCAACAGCCTGCCCCATGTGCAAGCTATGAGAAAATACACAAGTTTCTGCTTGGTTTTTCCAGCCAGACAGCTATGGGATCTAGTTCTATTATACTGCAAAGCAGAACCTATGATTGTGTTGTGCTTTTGGCCAATAGCACTGTTATAGACACGCATCACCATAACATAAATATTAGAAAAAAACCAAGCTTTCTTCATCTTTAATGACACATTGAATATACTGGTAAATTCTGGGGCACTGTCACTGTCTGCAGATTGGCAGATACTGCTGAAACCAGTTGGTGAGTTGGTGTGAGTGGGCCTGATTCACTGAAGACACAAATTGTTGCAACCCCACCTAATCAGCTATGGCTGTTTTAGTTTAACCTCCAGCAGCTCACACTTTAGGCCTGCATGTCCCTGGGTCAGTCCCCAATATATTAGCCAAGATGATACCTGTCATTCTAGCACAACGAAGAGGTGTTTCAACAGTGGAGAATGTCAGTAACACAGCAGTGAATTGGGTCTCTGTCTTCCAAAGCTCACAAAATCATTTCCTTATCGAAAGCCCATCAAAACACATTTAAAACAAAATCTTACATGCGACTTGTTCCATCAGACTGGCGGAGTCTACCGGCATGTAAAGATCAAAACACACGGGTAGGTCTTTGCAGAAATGGGGCTCTAGACAACTGAGACTGTAGCCTCACTTCATTGCCTTTCAAAGAGAGGTTATTTATTTGTAAAAAATAAAATAAATATTATTGAGCACTTCACTGTTCTTAGATGGAAGAAATATTGCTGGTATGCTCCCACTTCTGCTGCCAGCTTTTGCTGGAGGAGAGACTGAAAAACCTAGGCGTGTTTAGTTTAGATAGGAGAGAAATAGGTGGTGGAATGAGAGAGGTCCATAAAATAATAGATTATATAGAATAGGATAGAAAGGAGTAAAAAAATCACAGGTCCAAGCTTCTGATCTTATAAGAACAAATGACTAACCCAAATTAAAGCACAAGGTGACATATTTAAAGGTTATATTTTTATATATGCATATATATATATATATATACACTCATGCACGCACGCACTGCATAATTAACCTAATGAACTCACTGCCCCAGGTACTGAGGCAAAATTTGTACTAGGATTCCAGCAATTCTCTGGATAATGAGACCATACGCTGATGTGTCACAGGGGATGAAATAGAAGTGAGAGAACAATAGGATTTCTACTGTTAGGGAAATCCCAGTATTTCATCTGAAGTTGCAAGGTAAATTTAAAATATCAATATTCTTCATGGAGGCAACATTTCTGAAAAAAAACCTCAGTTCAGAAATGATAAACCACTTCCTTTTGAGTCTGTCTGGCATTAAACTTCATATGTCTGTTTCACAGCAGCGCCTCACCTAGGGGCTGTATCTTGGGCATCTCTCTCACCTTTACAGGGAATAGTTCTTTTCCACTTTGCATGGAATAATTGAATACTTACTTATTGAGACAGAGAGAGAGAAAAAGCAAGCATGACTTTTTTAGCTTACTAATTAGGGTACCCATCTAGGACATGGGAAAAGGGGGGTCCCGGTCTCTGCTCTAATGAATACTTCATGTCAAATACTTCATTGGCATATGGACTGGAACCCAAACCTGCCTATCCTAGGTAAGCATCCAAATCATTGGGCTACTGGGGAAAAGTAGCTACTGCTCTTCCTCTTGCTTTATGTGTTGGCCCTGGTCTGGGAGGAGCGTTCCAAAAACACTTCCCAGGTCAGTTCCCACAGGCAATAACTAGGGAAATGCCTAGCTTGTGAATCCTGGTTAGGCTTAGAT